GCGAATCCATAGGAATGATTAATTCTTTACACAAACAGTATATCAACTATGCTATGACGCGTCTAGCGTCTGGTGAAAGAGTACTGGGCCGCACTAAGGCATAGACAATTCAGATATCGTAAGCTGTTTTATATAGAATACTGTGGTGTATAGAGAGGAAAAATAATTCTCTATTGCATGTTTAGTTCCGCCTTTCCATCATCAGTGGACTAGTTCACTGCTGTGTTAGTATTAAAATAAGGATTTTTAAAATTAAAATATTTTTATTTCAGATAAAATTCCATATAGTGTTATAAACAAAATAACTTAAAATCTAGTGTTAGTATTAATTAATTTTATATAATTTAAAAGGGCAATACAACTAAATGGCTTCGTGGAGTTCAATCCATCTACGCAGAAGTGGCGAGTCCCACCGATCTGTGAACACACACAAGTTGCTATTGGAGCCCCCGCGGAGGCGCCTTATAGAGCACACCTTTTCCTCACAAGCCTGGGCAAACATCCCCGAAGCACTACACCTTCACGGTAGCCCCATCAGTTCCCACACAGAACACGCAGGTCGCTGAATGTCCGCCTCGAATACGCGACTGCACCCCACAGACTGCACGTGCAAATCTGCGAGCAAACATATTACACCGACCAGCCAGCGACCTGCGCTCCCTCTCTATATCACAATTGTCATTGAGATCCTCCGTGACCCAATGACACCAATATTTAAATATAGACACCCTGGAAAAAGCTGTACCACAAAGGACACTTCAGGTTGTATAAGCTCATGGCGACCGCTTTAAACACCATAAACTCACTTTTCTTCGCATTACATTTGAGATCGTGAGTCACAGCGTAAGCCACACACGTGTGTAACAGATTCCTTAGACCACCTATAGATGGACTCAACAGCGCCATGTCGTCGGTGTAACTTGTATTATTGATGGCGGAATCAAAGAATGGCAGGTTAAAACAAAGATATCGGACGAACAACGAGATTATATGGCCTGAGTTTCAAATTGCAAAGATTGCCACTGCGCCCGTCACCATGAGATATAACGTTAACAAATCCCATGTACCTGTATATCACCAGCACATTCAATACCGGAACGCAGTAATGTTCACATCTGTGCTTGGCGACAGAAATAAGGAGTCTTGCCGCATGACGTACCATTCCTTGTCCATAAGTCTGGCGCACCTTGGGCAACATTCTACGACTTCCGGCTTTGAAGGGTAACGGTGCTGGTGAAATTACAGGCACATGGGACTTGTCAACTTATGTCTCAGGGTGACGGGCGCAGTGGCAGTGCCCCTCAGATCTTTGCGATTTAAAGCTCTGAGTGGCACTGCAACTGTTATGGACAGGCGTCACTTACCATCAGGCGCACGACTTATTCATCCCATCACTTAGTATGTACCATAATAAAAAACAATTGGCAAATCTTTTCAACGATAGCAAGCATCACAGTGTATGCCATTTACACAATAAGAAGACGGCGGCAGAAATAGGATTACTGGCAGTACTTGCCCGGAGGAACACTTTAACAAGGACCTTTGGCTCTACTGCTACAATACCTCCTCTCTGCTATACTATCATTCCCTATACACATTTGTTTGAAGAGCCTAAATACTAAAGTCACAGGACAAGGTTCGTGTAGTTATCTAGGAATAGTTATAGTAGCCTCCCTTAGTCCGTTCCTGTCTACATTGCAGAGTTTATCGTAAGTTACTCAGAGTATGAAGAATGTAGTGCAATAACTCATGAGTACGTGACACGATTGTAAATATACACGGTCCATGTTCAGCACCCTGTATTATGAACAGTTTATTGTATAGCCTGTATTAAATCAAGTGACCTTCTTGTGGGATAACAGTAATTTAAATTAATTTAGAACGTATTATCGTAAACGTATCGTATTATATGAAAATGCCTATTCATAGGTAAAAATAACTCTCATATAAAATAATTATTTGTTATGCAATGCTTGCATTGAAACCTGCGCAAGCGAAGGAAGCTAAGATTAGAAAGCTACGAGCGAAACGAGAAAACAACTTTAAGAAAAACAGTTGAACTATGAAACATCAGTTTTTTTTTATTCAAAAGAAATAGTTTGTTTTTGCTTGTACTTATAATTTTGTGTGATTAAGTGATAATTGAAATTATTTTAGTTCTTCGAAAATAGTTTAATAGACGCATTTAGTTGTCATTATCAATTTAATGTCAACAATAATAAGAATAAAATTTACCAACGGATTTATATTACACAAATAAGTAATGTACGACAAACCATCATCGAGTTCCCATCGTCAAGTTCGAATTTCAAAAACTTTTTCCACGCTAGCGTGCAATAAACGCTTTTGCACGCAGATTTCTAATGAGAAAGAAAGCACTGCAACTGTTATGGACAGGCGTGTCTCTTATCATCAGGCGCACGGACAAGTGTCCGTCCTGTCACTTGGTATCATACTAAAAAAGTATTTTCTATGACGTCCTATACACATTTGCGATACAACTAAAGAAGTTACAACTGCCTGCAAAATCATGAAATGATTGCATTCAAGGTAACAAACACTATCATTATGTTAAATTAATAATATTATATAAAAAATACGTGTTTTCATTTAATTTTTTGTGTAGAATTTTGGGCGTTGAATTTTTTTTATCTTCCCTAAGTGGGCGGTGAGCTAAAAAATTTGGGAACCTATGATTTACATTATCAGATGATCAGCTGTAGGTTATCATTAAAATTTATTTTTATTGGAAATTCGTCTATGTGCTTTATTGAAATCGGTTAACGAAAAGAGGATATTTTTACCCCTTATTTGACGCCCTTAGAAGTACAATGTTTTCTTCAAATTTAAATGTGATCTCTACCTGTGTACCCCCTTTCCAACCAAAAAAAGAACCATGGAAATCGGTTCAAAAATATCGGAGTTATTGCGTAACATATAAATAAAAAAATAACAAAAAACGACAGTCGAATTTGAGAACCTCCTTCTTTTCAAAAGTAAGTTAAAAAATGAAGCATTTTTTCATTGACTTACAAATAAATGGACGACGGGTCTAATACAAAAACCACGAAAAAAATGTCCCAAGTCAACCTTTTTAAACGTAGTGACATGTAAAGGAATATGAAAAAGCTAAAACGTTGAATTTAAATCGTAATGTCATCGCAGTACTGTCTAATTTTGCTTGCTTCGCTGTCAGTCGAACAAACGAAGACTAAAGCGTGAATGACGCTCTGTATACGATTTTAACGCCCTATAAGTTCGGACACTTTTTAGCGCGGACCCGACGTCCATATAATTGTAAGTCAATGCATTTTTTACTTAATATGCTTTAAAAGTCCATACAACCTCAAATGGCTTTGGTTAATTCAGCATAACAGTGAAAGTGTTGAACCAATCACTTTGGAAAAAATATATAATAAAATTAAGGATATACACTGATTATTATTGTGTGAAAATACGGTTCCTGACAATTTTCACTATAGAAAAAAAACACAAACTCTCCTCGAAATTCAATAAATACTTTACATGTACCAATAGTTTTTTTTTTATACCAACTGAACTAAATAGAAGACGTACACAATACGATTGATACGTTAATTGAGGGAAGGATAGAAGAGAAAAAAGAAACGAAAAAGAGAAAGACCACGAATGGCGTTACATGAATCTCTTTTGCCTCCTCTACTCTTATCATACAAAAGTGAACACAGCAACACTTTCAAAACCCAAAAATAACTCTGTCAGTCTCTAACATTTCGCAGTATCGGTCATGTTACTTCGCTGTTGGCCGTGTGTACATACGCTTATTGATTTTGATATTGGACTATTGTTTGTCGAAGGTCTTTGCCCTTGTTCTATAGCTATACAGGATGTTGACATAATTGCTTTACATCCAACGGGGAGTTAATCCATTTATTTTACTCAGGGGATATTTCCAAAATTGTAAAAAGAAGCAACTATTGTTTATATTAAGTACGTAAAAAGTCACACGTGACTTGTAAATATTGCATAATTGTAATGGTGGATTTGGTGATATGTGACTTTGTATATACTACTGTTAATCCCACGTTATAGTCTTTAGGAGGAAGACAAATCCACATCTTGCAGGTTTTAGGAAGGAATGAATGTGATGCCCGTGTGATAATACAAAGCCAGGCATCAACGATGTAATAGTAACATTATTGTAGAGGCCGGGAAGTATGAGCATGAGTTAGAAGGACGAACGACGAGCGCCAGCGAGGCCTTGTATTAATACGAGTCAAGCAATCCCCGTTCCCGCCGAGGCTTATATAGTGATTTTGTCCAACATTGTGAGGAAATAATAGAAGACTGACGAAAAGATGAATAATAAAAAAGTAAAAAAGTATTAAAAATAATACTTGACGTGTTACGAAAGTTGTTAAAAGTAAATTGTTTTTCCTGACAATTAATAGTATTCTGCTGAATTTCTAATGATGTGTTTAAAACAAAAGAATACCAAAACACTTTAATGTTACCGCCATTTTCTTTTTTTTTTTTGAGTAAGCGGTCTAGGCATTTTTAATTCTCGCAATTATGAACACTGGACAGTTGGCTTTAATGAGTTTTTCTTTTGCCTGTTTACATAGGAGTGGACAGTAATGGATTTTCATCCTTGCTCTGCAGGTCTTGGCCGCGAAGAAGTCACACGGTCCATAAATGAAAAACTTTCCGTGACCATTTTCTGAAAGTATTGCAAACATTTCCGAGCGTGTTTGAGAAAAAATATTTTTGTCAGTCTGTTTTCTGCAATTTGTAATTTTAACATACAAAACATAGCAAATTAAATACTTTTCCCACACATACGGATTTATTACGCTTTTAGTCAAATTTATTATTTGTAATCCTTATAGTAGAATTTGTTTCTATTAATTAGTGAATTTACCCCTTCAGGGTGTAATGCAATTAAATTAACACACTATATATATGTGTATATGTACATATACACTGTGAACCCAAATTAATGTGATTATTTTCATTCGCAGAAGCCTTTCAAGTGGATTAGTGGATTAGGAGTTGGTTACCTTTTGGTATGAGTAAGCAAGTTTCACACGTATGCCGAAAGACAGTCCGTTGTGGTATTGTCATGCTCTTTCTCGATCAGAGTGGTTGTTGAATAACACAATTTGTAATTAATATCCATCGAACTTTGACATTGTTACTCTTCCAAAAAGAATAAAGTTTTGAGGTTTTTAATTCGACTGCATTTTGTTGTTCGAAAGAGGGTACTTTAGTTGAGGTATTATTCGAATTTGAAGAAGATATTCCGCCTCTAAGGGTAGCAAATTAGGGGATGAATCTGGTTCATTAAATTTCATCCACTTTCCGTTTTCAATAAAACTTGGCATGATGCAATTTCAATGGAAGTAGTAGACAAATACTGTTTATATTTTGGTTTTTTGTTTCTTAGTTTTTTTTTCACAAAATTCAATTTTTTTTTTCGAATTTTGTTTTTCGTTTCTTTATTTTTTTTTTTCACAACATTCGAGGAGCATAATGTTGCTAAATAAATATGGGTGTTTAAAAAAATGATCAAAACCTAAAGCTGGCCTAGTGTTAATCGGCGTAGTGTTAAACAGCGTACAGCAGAACTTCCATATACGTTTCTGTTCTCGTTAAGGAGACCCCGATAGCGAACACACCGCATGAGCAAACTTTTGAGGCTTTTCAAACTTTTTTAATAAAAAACGAAATTTCAAATCACTTAGCCATCTTCGTACGTGATGACACTGAAGAGTTGTAAACCAATACAAATTTGCAAACATAAAAAACAGTTTATTCAAGCGATACATTTGCATGTCGATATTGACTTATCTATGATTAGGGTATAACACTAAATCCGCCATATGTGTGGTACAATCATTGACGTACAATTATATGGACGTCGGGTCCGCGCTAAAAAGTGTCCGAACTTATAGGGCGTTAAAATCGTATACAGAGCGTCATTCACGCTTTAGTCTTCGTTTGCTCGACTGACAGCGAAGCAAGCAAAATTAGACAGTACTGCGATGACATTACAATTTAAATTCAACGTTTTAGCTTTTTCATATTCCTTTACATGTCACTACGTTTAAATAGGTTGACTTGGGACATTTCTTTCGTGGTTTTTGTATTACACCCGTCGTCCATTTATTTGTAAGTCAATGGGTACAATTTTGGTTTAGTTAGGTACGTTTATTCCGTAGATAGGGCAGCTCTTTTCCTTTATTTTTTCCACCTTCTAAGTTTAGTAGTCACAAAATACACCAGTCAATAATAACTTATTGAAGTAGCAACGGCGTTCGTAAATATTCGTCTTTTACGAATTTACCGATGTTAGTTCATTACGTCTGTGTATACAGTTGCACGAGAAAGTATCTTTAGTCGCCATGTTAGTTTTTTTGTGGCGCGAATATTTGACAGATGGAGCGACGAATTAAACTTTGTCAAAATGGGATTCGTTGTTATTTGAACTTCAGTAGCAATAGAACTTCTTGTGAAAGTGTTCGTCCAGGGAAATACTGACACATACCTATTTCTGCTGCCAAGTAGTAATGTAAGCTGCGTTTTTGTTTTGGAGAGGTAAGAGTGTATGCAACCTCATATTCATATTCATATTCATTTATTTGCAAGTCACATGGTTTTTACAAGTGGTGTTAAACTAGTTATATGTACAACATGTAACACCCCGGGGGGGCATCGCAAATTTTTGAGGGTACAGGTATCTTATTATATAATTAATATAAAGTTTAATTTATAAAATTTAAGTAGCATTTAAAGAAAAACATTACTATATAAACATAAGCAAGAACAATACAAACAGAAAATTAAAGAGCCTTATTTTCTACAAAAAAATCTGTTATGGAATAAAAGGCCTTGCTTTGGAGATAGCATTTTAAATGTTTTTCGAACGCCTTGTATGTATCTCGCATTTTTATTTCGATTGGAATCGCATTATATATTTGTATTACCATACTATGAGGGCCTGAATGGTATATACTAAGGGTACTGAAAGGACGTCTTAACATGTGTAGACCTCTATTATTACGTTTCACTGTCTTTATGGGTGAAAAAAACTGACCGTACTTTCTTGCAAATTTACAACATTCTAGAATGTAAATTAACAACTAAAGTGTTGAACAAATCGAAATATAAGTAGTCAAATTGATAACACTGATTACTATACGGCGTGAAAATATGATTCATAAAAAATTTTCAAATAGAAAAAAAAAAA